GCAGACTTCAGTATTTCTAAAATGCAATTCCGGAAACCCCGACAATGTTTTCAATGTATTTAGTATAGAGCGAAACCGAACCAGACGCCAACCTTAACCATTGCCTGGTTTGCCCTAGCTGAATGCCCGCTTTAGGCCTCCCCGTAGGGCAAAGCGGGCAGTTGTAAAGATTTAGTTATCTGCTTCTAACTTTTTTTTTAATAAACTTTCTTCAATTTTAGTTATGCATCATTGAAAAGGGTTAAATCAAGCATTATAATATAAAAATTTAAAGGATCTAGATTATCCATAAACTACTTTTTTTAATATTTTTCCTTATGGTGCCCGCTTTGGGCCCTCTTCCCCTACATATCGCTTTTTTGACGTTGTCTACTTTATTGTCAGGTTATTGTGACATGACTGCTTAAGTATTATCTACTTTAAAGTAAAAAAGTTAAACTATACCTATACTTTGTGAATATCACGTGACAGACTTTTCCAACCAATTACAAAACACCCTTAAATAGGTATATTACAAAAACGTTTATAACTATTTTCGTGAATAATGAATGAGCTTAATTTGTTCGCTAACATTGTAAATGTCTGCTAAATAATAGTCGACTTATATTTTGACTTTATGACACTTCCATTAAACATAAAGTAATGTGAAAAATTTAGACTTTATGTTACAACCAAATTACAATAAAATATTCGAAATCAGTGATGTATTTCAAGAACTTCAGATACTTAGGTATTAATTGTTGCAGCAGTTTGATGCATTTAACTATGTACAATCAGATCACTGCATTTAAAAAAATTGCAGATGACATGGTGGATCTAAAATAAATGATGTTGCAGAACACCGTAAACAAAAAGTAAAATCAAGACAAGTATGTATTTGATTTAATCAGATTTTTGTTAATATTATAGTTTTTGCAGTTTTAAGTTACTCCATAATTATTTCTATACCCTATACTGCTTAGCTGAAATAAATGTGCCTAGTGCACTCAAGCATATTATTAAAAATGGTGTCACATTGAAAACCGAAACGGATGTATTGTAAAGTTGAGACAAATTATGAAGGCACTTTTCATGATGTCTCGCATTAGGGTACGCACAAGTTTAAAGCCTAGCCTGACTACTTGTTGTGGGTAAAAGTACAAAAATAGTAGTAACATATTTTACTTCATGAACTTTAGGAAAGAGTGGTAGATGTTGCACCTTACGAAAAACAACTTCGTTACCCTCTTCTTTTATAATTTGTTACTTTTGATGTTTACTCTACGTACAAAGTATAAGTATATGGACAGTTGAGGAAGTTCAAGCAAGAGAGGTGAAGGAGCATATTCAACATTTACCATTTTCAAGCTACATTCAATGGTATTACTAATAATTATATATCACATTAAGGGCAGTAAGAAAATAAGTAGTGACTGTAGGAAAAACTAAGGTACAGTTCCTACTAAAATTATTGCCTGTCCCATTTTTTATCCACTAATGAAACCAGATGGAACGAAAGAACTTTCTGTGATTTTTTTACTTTTTTCCTTACAAAGTGTAGGTGCTTTAAATGTAGTTGTCATGTCATGAGATACCTACATACCTAAATTAGAAATCAATATTCAAAGATTGTTTCACAGTTTTATTTATGCGTCTGAAAACCTCTATTTTTTACTTAGCAAAATTAAATTCTGCTTTTTAAAGTTTTGTTACTTGTGTTGCTGTTCCTAGAAAAATCATATTTCATACCTTTTATGTGACTTGCAATTTAATTTTTGAGCGTATTTGATAAATTTATGACGTTAGGAACAACTGGAGAAAAGTACCATCACTGCTGACATTTGCAGTTTATTTTTTATGATTTCAAATTTTCAACGTTTCCATAACTTTGTATTTAGTAAATCGTCTATACTTAATATACCTACGAACAATTATGCAGTATAAAACTCATGTTTCAGTGGTAGTAAAAGTACCTATATCGCAAATTGTGTAACTCGCTCCACTTTACCTCACTATATGGTAAAGTGAAAACTATATAAGAAACAAACTGAAACTATTAAAGCTTCATCACAATGCTGCGTTAAAACAAATCTGGCTTATGGAGTAGGTGTTGTTAAATTATAAATCAAGGAGTAAATCTCTCTACTATAATATCTGCCCATTTAGTTCGTAATTTGTCAACTGAAATTATTTTTAATTATTATACCTTTGTATTTGAATAATAAATACAGAGTGCAAAATTAGCACTTCAAGATAATTTTGCACCAGCGTCGTCTATAATTTAATTATAGATACCTTCATTACAATTGACTGAACCGTTTTAATGAATTAGACGAAATTGCAAGGGACGATTCTGGAAATAACCTACAATTCGTTAAATCACATCTACCAGCATTTTTCACAGATTAAAACAAATCAAGTAAGAGAATGCAAATAACAAATATTTTCTGATATAACAATAATTAATGACTCTTATTGGTGTGAAATAAATTTCACACTGTTCGACATTCTACTATCTAGTATCGCTGATAGAGACACATCGCTTATAGCAGTAGTCTGATACAATTTTGTATATAATTTTACTTAAAATTTGTGGTCAATGGTTTTATATAGGTATCCTGATTGAACTCTTCGTCGAAAATAATTTCACACTTACAAACAGAAGTTTTAAATTTCTCTAATACGGTAGCTATATTTCCAGGATCTCTATGGGTACCTAAAAGTTATCAACAATTTCGTAACCGGTCTAAGATTCTAATCGTTGTTTCAGTTTCTGCATCCAATGTAATTTCCAGAATCTGGAAGCTTTCTCATCTAACTGTTGGCTAATTCATGATAATAAAATGTGGCGTCGTCTAAAGAAGGATCTAATATTTTTGTACCCTAATGTGAGAGATATTCTTAACAAAACATCTACTTTGCCCAGATATTTAACATTTAAACAATTGTGTTTCGAATACGCTGATGACCAACATTTAAAAATAAGATCATAAGAATTTTTGTTATTTCAACTTTGAACCTCCTATTGTCCCTTATTTCTCTGTTATATTTAAGAAGAATCGTTACGTTTGGCTATTATGGTGTTGTTAATAGATACATTTTCACAATGTAATATCTCCATTATTAACATACCTTCTTATTGTTATGAAATTTTAAATGTAACCTGTCCACAACTTTCACAATATAATGCGAGGACAGTTTTTTTAAATAGTTTATTATTATCAATAGGTATTTCAATTATTTATGGAAATCTTGGAACGCGGTTTCTGCCACTGCTTACAGCTTGCAAAGTTTAGAAATCGTAGTAGATATATTTTCGATTTTATTTGTTAAAACTGAGATACAGTAAAAAGAAGCGTTTAGCAACTTCTACGACACAAGCTTTTTTTACTGTATCTCGTTTCTTAGAAAAAAAGTCGACGATCTGTTTATACTTTTTTTTTTACTTCAGTTTAGTGTTTTCATAATTGCTAGCATAGTTGTCTTCTGCGCCATACGTTCCTCTCGAATACCATGACAAAATAATAGTCAGTGGCCTAGGCAATGATTACTGATAATTGTGGTAACGAGTTCTTATAACGGCAGAAATATTGTCAATGCATCTACTTAGTACTATGGTTATTTTGACATCACATTTTTTAAAAAGCAAAAATAGCAGTCCTTACTGTGGTCCAGATATTCTTTCCAAAACATTGAACTGTATAAAACAAAGACGTTTGTCCACAATCATACAGTTTCTATACACAGTAGATGAAACTCAGTTCAGCTCCTAATTACCTATTTTAAAAACACAATAGACAGCATGTACTTTTCCACCAACGTAGTTATTTTCTATATTGTTTTTTTGCTGCATATCTACTTATCACAGATGTAGTAAGATTATCTGGATTATTTACACAACCACAAGACACCACGTTCACATGAACACACTCACAGATGTTATAACACCTACTGTTGGTGAAACACTGAATGTGACGATGCACTTCACATTTATATAAGAGGTAATCGCAGGTTTGAACGTCTTCTGCAACATGCTTGTTGTGTGGTTATGTAAACTAAACAAGTCTATATAAACGATAACGATACATTTCTAGAAATTGACAACAAGTCCAGGTCTGCTTATAAGGCAACTTCATCACAACGTGACATTCCAGACTTCCCTGACTAAAAAAATGCTTTTTAACTAAGACATGATGCATGCATGAAACCGAAATACAAATATAGAAGTATATATTGTACAAACACCAAATGTCGCATTTTCAATTGTTTTAAATTAATAACTCATTCTCTAATGACAAACTATTGTTTGAGGTAAATGCATTGCAAATACAAATATTTAATACATTTCAGTAAAGTGGATTTTTCATGCAACTTGCTGACAGTATAAAAGAATCATTTTATTTCAACTGTAATACGACATTCGCATTTTTTATTATTATTTGTTGATGTTTTTATTTCAACTTGTTTGTACTTATTATATTGTGTTCATATACCGACATCCTACACACTACATAATATTCTTTAGTATTATTATTATTCGTGCTATATTCTCATTATTTTTACTTGTTTATTTTTCGTCAGTTTTTTCAATCATATATTTCCTTCTCTTTAATTAAAAACGCACTTTAACTTCTTTTATCTATTTACTTTATCCTAAGTAACCATTTCTGCGATTGCTTATACGAATAACAAAAACACAACAGAAATAGATTTATGCGAAAATTTTGTAACTGATCGATTACTCTTCATAGAAACTTTCTAATGACAATACTCTTCAACGTTGACAATTTTGATACTATTTTACTCTTGTACCGTCGGTATAAATATGGGTCTACAATATCTTTGTTCAACGCAAGGTTACTACAAATGCTATTTTTTTTTTTAATTTTCACAAGTAGGTAGATGTTCTTTATCTCAGTTCAGATGGTAGCGAATTTTTCCATTATTATAATCCCACATTATCATATGTTTACAATTCTGTGTACTATTATTATTAACGTTAAGCTAGGAAGAGTTCTTACCCAGCGGCGAGATCGAGTCCGGCGGATCTCCTTGCCGGTGATCCCTGCATCTCGTGCGCGGGGCTCTCCCATGTCTGGACATGATAGCGGCGATGCTGAAGTCCGTGGCGCACGGCCTCATCGTGCAGTTATCCTCCATCACCTCGACCACATCACCGCAGTGTCAGGTCAGGTCGGGTCACCACCGTCAACGTGCGCGCGTGAACACTGCCGTCGCTTCCGCCGCCGCCGCTACGACCGGCGGGCTCGGGGGCGGCGTGAGCGTCTACATGTCGTCATTTCGGGCACTTCCGTGTACTTTCACTAGGTGTGAGGCAGTTTCGCGCCGGCACAGAAGCAAGCTGTTTTGACAGAATGAATATTTAGATCCCTTTGACTCACATTTAACAAGATTACTTTGATATGCGGCGAAAGCATTCAGATTGGTCGCTCCCACTTCGAGAGGCGTTCCTCACTCTCTGGACGTAATTGATTATCGGCGGTGTCTACGGCGACGCTGTTCGGAGCCGACTGACCGCTCCGTCGAGACGTTATCAAAGGAATGTGCCATTTTTTCCGCGATTCTCCCCTCTGTCCTGTCGATGACAACTTTTGTTTTTACCTCCGGTCCCCTCGTGAGCACCTGGGCGGGCATTCTACGCGAACTGTGTGATCCTTTCTTCTCCTCAGCCGCGCGATCACACGGATTTCGCGGGGTGGGGTTCGAGACGACACGCCTAAGGGAGGGGCTTGGGCGCCGGCAACGCCTATCAGCGAAGCTGGCCGATTGTGTGTTGAGCCGGTGTGCTTACCTGCACAACTTTGGGGACTAACGAAAATAATTTTCTGATAATTTTCACCCGCTTTACTACCTACTAGGTCAAATGTTTCAGCTCTCGATGAGAAGCCAACATCTTTAGTAAAATCAGTTATTCAACACGTTTCTTCTATGAGTGTTTTTTGACCTGCAATTAACTAACTGTAATTATAGAAATTATCTGTTCGTGTGGATATTTAACAAACTTGTAAACGTAGGTTTCTTGGCCTTCAAAAATTTATTAGACGAATCTTAATATCTATAACGAACAGGTTCAGATAAGTAATTTTTACAAATTAATGTTGATCGAAATAATTGAAATATATTGTACTATTTCTACACCTCCTTTGAATTTTATAAAAATAGATTTTCCATGTTTTTGCTCTTCACCACAATATAGACACAAAAAAATCTTTGAATAAAATGTCCCAGTCTTATTATTTGATGTGCTTTATAATAAATTGTATTCTCTAGTTCCACTATTTTGAGCGTTGCACGTTATCAATGTATGTACCACTAAGAATCAACGTTGTATACACTTGTATGTGAGAAGGTACATCTTTTACCAAAAGTTGTCCTTCAATAAATTTTCATTTGAAGGATACAAGAGCAAGACACAAGAACTGCCACAAAAATGTTTACATAAATAACAGTTTAATATTTGAAAGTTATTAAGTATTGCTCCTCTGATGAGACGCATAGGCATAAGAGATTTTCATGACCTTAGGCACAAATTACAATTCCTACCTAACACTTACTTTAAAAAAATCCGTAGATCTAAACCAACACAGGGTTATGGAAATATTTATATTTTTGGAGAACTGCCCTTGTTTTCATATTCTTTTCTTGATGTAGATAAAATACAGGAGCATAATTAAGTCATTTTAAAATTTTTAGTGTCATTATTTGTTTCATTATCGTTCCTCGTTTCTAAAAGTAAACTGCTATAATATAGTATAGTACCCTCTTAGGTATATTATTTAGTAATAACTAAGTTTTTGTGCCATTATTGCACGAAATGGTACAGTTTAGTGAATAAGACTGACATTCTTTTACGAGGAGTAACTGAAATAAAAAATACATATGTTAATAACATAAATAATATGACTAAATGGCCTTCCTTGTAGAAGTGATGATCTTTGAAAATAAATTATCAGTCATTCAGTGTGCACAAACTGATCGTCATAATTAAAATAGAACTATGTATAAAAACAAAAATCAAAATAGTAAAAGTGCAAGTAAAAGAATAGTATAAGCACAAATTGAATAAATTTAAAAAGTAGGTACATAATACAAGAAGAAAAGAACGATACTGACTAATCAGTAATCATCAATTAAAAAAATATTATCCTAAGAAGCTACTAAAAATAGCTGGTCAGCGTTCAACTTCTATATGCTTAGTAGACGATTTTTCAACAAATACTTATTTCACCACCTTCCTTCCTAGACATGTGCCAGAACTTGTTACTCAGATATCACTATATCTTCTACAGAAAGAGAAATTAAATAACAATCATTTGGATTTCTAAAAAAATTTGTGAATCATTAGGTACATAGCAGACTGCATTATTTTGAAGAATTTTTGCTTATAAAAAGAAGTTTGAGAAAATGTATGTCAGTACCACACCAAAACACAACGAAAACTTACATTTTTTAAATTGTAAAAAAATACTAAATATACTTTGTTTACTGAAGCATCTATTTCTGAAACAGTTTTTTATAAACAAAATTATTTCGTTTGCAAATTAATAATGTACCTAGATACTTATAATATTTTGGTGTAAACTTTTAATTACTAGTTTCTTTACTGAGTCAAGAATTGTGTCTTATTAAAGTTTAGTCAAAACAACTCTTCTTGAGTTTAATAAATAAGAAATCTATTTTGACGACTTAGTGGGATAATGCCCAAAAAAAACAGCGAAAACACATTTTTTTTTTCTACTCGTTTCTCCCACCACGTTACGGTCATCTAGACATTTAATTCAGTTTAAATTTTAGTCTAGATTTTTTGTCTAGATAGTGCCAACATGCTTGGAGAAACGCGTGCATAAAAAAATGTGTTTTCGGTGTTTTAGTCTAATAATGATTTCTTTACCCAACAATGGTTTATTTTAAATTTTATTGTAGGTACTTCGTTTAAAAATCATTAATTTTGATAAGGTGTTAAAATATATTAGATATCTTAAATATTTTATAATCACTCAGATTAATTCAATATTTAGCAAAATGTTGGCGATTTAAAACTGAAATAACATATTCTACATATACAGCGTGTTATTAAAAGGTACGTACAAAATAAAATCGGCAATTGGTCTTGAAGTATGGGTGCTAAAAGTTAAAAAAAGTTCAGGTAAAAGTGTTCTCCTTTTAGAGATAAAAATTATTAAAATTTATGTCCAAATTCGTTGTACTCCTCTGATAAAAACATCATCTCTCGTTTCTATAGCAACATTTAGTCTTGACAAAAGTTTTATTGTTACAGTTGCTAGGATTTATTAAAATAAATTAATTTTACCTATTTATCTTTCAGTAGCGTCTAAAAAGGTTGGATAAGGGTTAATTTTCCCCTTATAATTTTGATAACACAAAATAAGTTTTTCAGACTTCTTTGACCTCGCGAAGAACTGTCAATTTTGTTGTACGTACCTTTCAATAACACCCTGTATATGTACTTATAACCTAGAAATAACCATTTTTTTCAGATTAGTGTTCTGTAGGTATATACCTATTGCAGGTGATTTATGTACATATAAACAATTTATTGTTGCAAGCAATGAACATATTTTTTCATGTCTTTGTCCATTATGAACGGTTTTCTAGAACTGAAAAACGTCCGACAAAGCTCATTTTCCTGCAAAAGTAAGCATGCCAATATGCTAAAAATCGTGGCAACACTGACTCCGAATGTTAAAATAATAACACAATATTATTCTGTCATTTTAACTAAATCAGTTCGCCAAACCATTACTACTACAAATCACTATTCAATTTGCTGGACGCGACTGTTAATAAACAAGAGTAGGGGAGACCTGTCCAAAACCGTACACCGGGGTAAAACCGTATAGTGCCCTTAGAACTGCTGGTTGTTTGAATTTGCCACTCAAACTTCTGTCAATGGGATCTACCAATAAGAGCCATTTGTCGACAAAAACTTGTTAATGCTGCCACGCTCGTTACAAAATTAAATAAATTTAATATTTTTCGGGTGCTGTAATCTAATTATTAACTAAATAACCACTGCAAGTGTATACCGTTAACGGAATTCAATGTAAGTACGTAATTTACGATATCATTGTATATGTTTCTACTATTATTTTCAGTGTTTGTCTTAACCGATTTTTTTTGTGTTTGTTGTGGTGAGCAAAATGTTCATTTGAGGTTACCTTGGGGCAGAACCGTACGGGGTAAAATCGTACGAGCTTCTAAGTAATTCGCAGTCGAAAATTAAAAAAACAAAGTTGAATCTGTCAGAAACCAAGAAAAAAAAATAAAGATAAAGTAGAAAGCAAAACTGGAGATAGTAAAGATCTTTGCTTGTACTGTCTTGAAAAATATGGTCAAAGTCGCATGGATGAGGGTTGGTACAGTGTACTTCCTGTAATGGTTGGGCCTATGAAGGTTGTACAGGTTACGATTCCGATGATCTTGATGATTTTTTGTGCACTAAATGTTTGGTGTGAATGTTGAGGCAAAATCGTATATTGTGTACGGTTTTGGACAGTTCACGGGGTAAAACCGTAATTAGAAGTGTTTTTGTTTTAATATTTTTATTTCGTAGATAAGTTACATCTTTCGATTTTTGTTCTTACAATTATGTACCTGATGAGACTGGTCAATAAAAATGTTGATTTGACAATTCTATTGTGTATTATTACAGAGATATATACATTTCCGCTTAGCTATACGGTTTTGGACAGGCCTCCCCTAACTAATAAATATGAAAACAAATGTTAAATAATTCCTTTAACGTTTACGTTAGGTGATGTGATGTGTGGTATGGAATATCAAAATTAAACTTAAAGTTTGAAATTCAAATGTGCAATGGATACATATAAAAAACATAAAAAAGTGGTCGAAAGTTATTGCAGCAGAACTTCCCTCTCCTTTGAAGTATAGTCCAGCAAATCCCACTTTTTTGAAAAATTTTAAAATTTGATTTTCCAAGGGGGGGTTGTCCGCGTAAATGTGGACAATATGAAATATACTCATTTAAAGCAGATAACCAAAGGGAAAAATTTACATATTTTCAGTTTTCCAGTACATGTTTGACTTCGGCTATTTATTTATATAGTACCTACTTCGAAAAAATTCGAAACGTTCAGATTACAACCATCAACGGTTAAAAAAAATGAAATTTGATGATTTTGTCTCGTCAAAGCAGAGGAAAACCCTCGTTAATTAGGCACACTCAGGTTTTTCTCAAAAACCGGACAAGTTTTGATTAACGATTTGTCATGCTTCCATTAAATATTTGCAAGATTTCACAGTATTCGGTTTTGAAATTTCAAAGTTAAATTGTAAAATGTTCTTAAACAATTTTGATTTTTTTCCCAAAAATGGATGCCAAAGGTAAAAACTCAACACGGATTTATAAATTACACATCCATCAAACCGATAAAATTTAACATGTAAAATGACCTCATCAGTTTTTGCGAGGACATAAATGAACAAATTTTAAGTAACGATTTAC